CTTCTACGGTCTTCTTTATTAATTGTCCTTTCCCTGGAAAACTTTCCAGGAAAATGCATTATTTTTATAGTCAGAGTGAACAATAAAGCACTTTCCTCTTTCAAACATTATGTACACACAGTATTTCAAAATAATACCAAAACTTTGAATCCTGTATACTTCTCACACTGTCTTGTAATCTTTGCACACTTCTCACCTTTGCAGCAATAGAAACGTAGACAAAGTTCAAACAGGCAATTGACATCAGAAAATACAAAAATGGTTAATAAATACGACACAATTAATTTCACAAGTAATCAAATTACATGAGAAAGTAAAATAATAGCTCCTGCTCTATTTAATAAACAAAAGCATTTAAAAATCTAGAGTGGGCAAGGATACTAGAAACATATTCTCAAGAACTGCTTATGGAAATATAAATCATAAAAATCTTCCTGGAAAGCAACTAGGCAATGTGCTCAAATGTCTTAGAATTGGGCTAGTCTTTGGCATATCAATTCAATTTCAAGCAAGGTAAACTAAGAAAATAATCTTCAAAGATATAGTTGTTATTGTTAGCTGTCATCCAGGCAGCTTCTTTCCTCTTGGGGGCCTATGCACAGGATTGAACAGTGTGATTTCTAGGGTTTTCATCTGCTGATTTTTTTTGTAAGTAGACCACCAGCGCTTATTTTGTATTCTGTGTTAGTCTAGAAGTTCCACTGCAACCATTCAGTATAATAAAAATATACAAACGCCCACTGAACACCCCTACTGACAGAATGGTGGTGGCAGTGCTTGAGGTACATTAACTGGAATCAAACTTGGTCTCTCACATGTAAGGTGAGAATTCTGTCTCTGAATCACCAAAAAGATATAGTGTCTTGTTGTTATTGTTGTTAAGTGCTGTCACATCAGTTCTGACTCATAGCAAGCTCTGTATAAGGCTTCCAAGGAGTGGCTGGTGAGTTTGAACCACCAACCTTGTGGTTCAAACTAACCTTGCGGTTCAGTGCTTATCCAACAGCACTGTTGTTGTTGTTGTTGTTGTTGTTGTTAAGTGCCATTGAGTCGGTTCCGACCCATAGCGACCCTGTACAGGGTTTCCGAGGGTGTAAATCTTTACGGGAGTAGAAAGCCTCATCTTTCTCCCGCGGAGCGGCTGGTAGTTTCGAACCGCTGACCTTAAGGTTCGCAGCCCGATTCGTAACCACTACACTACCAGAGCTCCTTATCCAACAGCACTACACCAGTATATTAATGGAACAATATCAACAAACTTGAAATAATATAAACAACTAACAATAGCTTAGTTAAATAAACTTAAAGAAATCAGTTTAATTTCATTATGTATTTAACTAAAAATTAATTAAATGGAATGTGTGGCACTGTGAGCTAATGTGTCAGACTGCAAAGTCATTTGAACTGCAAGGTCGGTGGTAGCTGTTCCTTAGACACCTTATACAGGGTTGTTATGGGTTGGAATTGGCACTTAACATAAGCAATTCAATGAAGTCATTGAAAATATCATTGAGGGAGAATCTTTATGGACATATCCAAATGTTGATAAAATATTCTGAAACAGGGATAAAATATATTACAATCTTTATCTGAGACCTGATGGCCCTGTGGGCTAGACCTTGGACTGCTAAAGGTGGTCACTATGAGTTAGAATCTACTTGAAGTCTGTAGGTTTGGTTTGGTTTGGTTTTGGTGGCAGAGTGCTTAAGCACTCAGCTGTGACTCAGTGATTTGGACCCACCAACATATCTACAGGAGAAAGAGATGGCAATCTTTCTTAAAGATTTACAACCTTGCAAATCTGATGGGACAGTTCTACACTGTAGGAATTGACTCCACAGCAATGGGTTTATCTGCACTATTTCATTCTATTAAAGAACAAAGACAGTGATTAACTAAGGTGTTAACTATATAGATCAAACCTCCCACAAAACCCACTGCCATTGAGTTCATTCAGACTCATGGCAACCCATACAGAGTTTCTGAGATTGTAAATCTTTAAGGGAGCAGATTCTTCTCAAAGTGGCTGGCAAGTCTGAACCACAGACCTTGTGGTTAGCAGCCTAATGCCACTAATGCTCCTTACATAGATTTTTGATATTGTTAAGTCATGTCAAGTCAGTTCTAAATCTTTGCTGGAGCAGTAAGCCTCACCTTTCCCCTAGAGAGTGTCTGACGGACTCCAATTGCACATCTTGTAGTTCGTAGTTCAGTGTGTCTCGTATGGGGCCACAATGCTCTGAATTGAAAATAGTTACTTAAAAAAGAAAAAAAAAGATTATCTGTTGTCTTCTCCGGGCCTGGAATCCTATACTCTTCTGCACTTGGAATCTTTATACACTTCTCATATTTGTGGCAAGGCCTGTCTGGTGACTGCCCTTCTCTAACCCCTACCTTTCATTTATTCCCAGAACAATTATCTTCTAAAAAGTTATATAATGATGCTCCTTGGCCTATTGTGTGGTTGCCAATCTGGAAAAGTCTTCAAGGGCAAAGATTTTATGTTGTTGTTCACAGATATATGGTATTTCAAAGATGCAGCTCAAAACAACCATGATTGCTCTAGGCATTGTGAAATATACCTTTGAAATACATACCTGAACAAAAACAATCTTAAAGATCTGTTGGTAGCTTAAAGTGCTCAACTGTTAAAGTTCTCAACTGTTAACCAACAGGTTGAGGTTGAACCCACCAGCTACTCAGTAGGAGAAAGATGTAGCAGTTGGCTTCTTTTAAGATTGTTGTTGTTATCTGTGAACAACAACATAAAATCTTTGCCCTTAAAGACTTTTCCGTATTGACAAGCACACAATAGGCCAAGGAGCATCATTATACAACTTTTTAGAAGATAATTGTTATGGGAATAAATGAAAGGTAGGGGTTAGAGAAGGGGAGTCACCAGACAGGCCTTGCTGCAAATATGAGAAGTGTGCAAAGACAGTGCAGAAGAGTATAGGATTCCAGGTCCAGAGAAGCCAACAGATAACCTTTTTTTTTTTTTTTTTTCTTTTTAAGTTAACTATTTTCAGTTCAGAGCACTGTGGCTCCATACGATACACACTGGACTACGAACCACAAGATCCGTAGTTGGAGCCCGTCAGCCACTCTGTGAGGAAAAGATGAAGTTGCATCCAATCCGTTGCAACTCATAAGCACCCTGCATAGGGTGCCTGAGGGGTGTCTGGTAGAGTTGAACTGAAGACCTTGCAGTTAACAGACCAGTGCCTATCCTACAGCGCCACACCTGGACTCTTCCTTGGAAATCCTATGGAGGTTTATAGTTGGAATTAACTAGATGCCACTGGTTTTGTTGTTGTTAAATGTCATTTGGTTCCGACTCTTAGCGAGCCTATATGGGGTTTTCGAGGTTTTAAATCTTTGTGGGAGCTAAAAGCCTCATCTTTTTACCTCAGCGAGGCTAGTGGGCTCAAACTACAGACCTTTTGGGTTATCCTTTGGGTACCATCACTTACGCAAGTGCAGATGTAATATACTATCTTTCAGTGAACCTCAGTTCACAGGCAGTGGCGTGGCAAACACCTGCTACCTCCAGAAGATCTCCCACGCGGGCCTGGACGTGTGATAAGGTTCTTTCTGGATCTGTCTCACAGGCAAACACAGCGAACTACACTTCCCAGTATCTTTGGGTTCTCGCGTGGACTCCATTTCCCAGAGGCTTTAGCGGCCGTACCTCAATAGTAACTCCCCCCCCGCCCCGCCCCTCCTGGGCCGCCTGGGGCGCGGGGTGTTTGTCGCCCTGGTGTGCATCGTCGGGCCCCTGAGGTGGGTACAGACATCGCCCAGGTAGTCCCGACTCGACGCTGCTTTCACGATCTGTACAGTTCCGAAGCCTCCAGCCTGTGGAGCACGGGCGGCGGGGTGAAGCACAGCCGCCCGGGACCGGGAGGCTAGGTGAGCCGCGGGAGGGAGGGCCGTGATCTCAGAGGAGGCGGCACCGGGGTTCGTGGGGCCGTGGGCGCTGCGCTCCGGAGAACAGGCTGGTGGCCCGGGTACGGAAGACACAGGCGGGGCGGGTCCTGCGGCTGTCGTGGGTTTCGGAGAGGCCTTTGTAGTCTCCAACGGGCGATTTGCTCACACACCTCGAGTCTGCTCACCTTCCACCCCTGGCCCTACAGACACAGCCCCTGGATGCTTCTGGTCTGGCACATCCGTCCCAGGCCCCAGTCACCCTCCTGCTACCTCCGGCCTATTTGCCATAGTGCCTGCCAAGTCTCCCGAAGGAGTCTGAATTTGCTACTGTCTTTCAGTTCATGCGTGAAAAATGTAGTTCCTCTCCAAAACATCCATCAGATCTTGGTGGCAGATGTCTTCCGCAATGAGAAATCCAGGGCTAAAATCCAGGTCTTTGGTTTCTTTGCTCTTTCCTCAACGGAGCTGCCCCATCCCCGCGGCTGAAAAACCTATTTTCCTTCTCCGGAGCAATTTTCTCAAAAATTTGGTTACCGATTTCTTAATAGGAGAGAAACAAATTGGGTAGGAAAGAGCTGAGGAGTAGAAAGTTGTCAGATGTCATGTAATGAGGAACAGATGCTCTAGAGCAGGCTGCCTTGGTTCGAATACTGGTGCCGTCTTTACTGGCAGTGTGACCTCAGAGCAAGCTACTCAGAGTTTGTCCTCAGTTTCCATATGTATAAAATAGGGATGCTAACAATGTTAATTGGTACTTTGGGGGCCAAATCATGTAAAGGAGGGTCTGACATGTTACTGCTACTGCTGATGACTCCCTGAGCCAGGGGAAGAGTTGGGGTTTGGGCCGGGATGCTCACAGCCCTTCTCGCTGGTGCTGTCAGTTCCTGGTTTCTTTTGACTCTCCTCTCTGAGGGTACCTCCGTCATTCTCAGTACATGTAAGGATTAGAGCAGAATTACTGATTCAGAGAGGTGGAAAGCAGAAGGGACATCCTTCTGTATCCCTTTTTATTCTCTTAGATCTACCTTCTGGAGATGCTGCCCATCCTAAGAAGAACCCAGAAAGAGGACATGGCTACTGGACAAAGGGAAACAAGGGTTCAAGTGAGTTCATTTCTATTTCAGTTGCCATGGATAGATGTTTTTTCTACTCTCTTCTTAAAAATTACCCAATACAGTTGTATTCTTTAAGAAGAGAGTAGAAAAAACATCTATAAATACAATTATATTGGGTTATCCTTAAGAAGAGAAGAGGAGTTGGTCCATTCTGGTGGCTGGTAGATTCTGTGAGGAATACTTCCCCAGCCCCACATCCATAGCTAGTGTTTCTCTTTCTTTTCTCCCTTATAGGCACTCTTTTGTTCATTAATTTCAATCCACTGTGTGATTACTAATTTGCTAGGTAAGCAGCCTTATGTCTTACAGCAATGGGGAAGAAATAAACATCCACATTTGGAAAAAATAATTTCTGGTCTTGCTGCCTTCACTTGCCATATCTTTCTCCTTACCCTTGGAAATAATTGCTTTTCTTTTTTCTTTCCATGTCTGAGAATCCTGACATCTTCCTCAGGCTTCTCCAACCCATAGTTTTCAGGTTTATTCACCCTTGTAACTTTATATATTATATGTTTACTTTATGTATTATGTGCCATTCTTTTACCACTCACTTAAAAACCGATCTTAACCAAGCAGTATTCAGTTATTCCCATATTGTGGGAATCAGGGAGGGACCCTGTCTAGGTTAGTCAATGCGGCAGCCATGTTAAAGGAGACACAGTTTGGAGTGGACACAGTTTCAAGGGCAGAGGGAAGACATCTCAGGAGTCACGGGGATGGTTTCATGGTTTTTGTTAAGTGCCATCAAGTCGATTCTGACCCATAGTAACCCTGTATAGGGTTTCTGAAGAGCAGCTGGTGAGCTTGAACCGCGACTTTGCAGTTCAAACAGCCTTGCAGTGTGGCTCATTAACCCCCAGTGCCACACCAGGTCTCTTTCTCTTTGTTTCTCATACATATATATCTATCTATCTGTCCTCAAAAACCCTATACAGAGTTGCTGAGTCAGAACCAACTCAATAGCACTTAACAACAACAATAATAAATATATTGCATGCTCATGGTAAAGATTTCATAGAATAAAAAAATCATATGTCAAATGAAAGAAAGTAAAGAAGAAAGTCAAACTCTTAATTCCACCATCTGGAGAAAATCACAGCGAACCTTTTGATATACATACCTCTGAATCAATTTTTTGTGCAGATAGATACTTATGTTTTGCACAAATGAGAACAAATTATACTGACTGACATGCTGTTTATTGTATGTAGTCGAGTCAAACATCTTTCTAAATTAGAATCCCAGTCTATCATTGACCAGCTATGTGACTTTAGACAGATTTTTTACTCTGTCTAAAAACACATTTGTTTTTTCATGTGTAAAATGGAGATAACATTTGTACCTTATTCTTAGGATTATTATGGAAATCATATAAAGATTGTACTAAAGGTTAATAAAAAGCTCTAAAAGCATAACCTGACCCATTGAAAGCATTCAACAAGTTGTAGTTGTTGTTGTTAAGTGCCGTCAAGAGGTAGAAAGCAGAAGGAACTTCAGACCTATAGCCACCCTGAATAGGGTTTCCAAAGACTGGCTGGTGAGCTTGAACCACCCACCTTGTGGGTCAAATCGACTTTGCAGTCCAGCGCATTAACCCACAGCACCACACCAGGACTCCTTCAATAAATTAGAGCTACTTTAATTTTTGTTACTGTTATCTTTAAGTGAAGTAATCTGCTTTCAGTCATATAGATAATGCAATAAATTATATAGTCTGGCCTCCATCAGTGATTATTTAGGTCATTTCCATCTTTTTGTTTTGTTTTGTTGCTAGTACAAACACCACAGACACAAGATACCCTTGTATCTCCCTTTTGTGTACTGTTAACAGTACAAATAGTAATAGTGGGTTCAAGAATATGCACATTTTAAAATGTGTAATGTGTATTTTCAAATCCACTATCAGAAAGATGATCCTAATTAGCATTTTCACGTATTGCCTTAATATCTACACATCTTTTACAGTTCATACTTTATGCTGCTCAGCATTATGTATTTACCATTGGTTGATTGCTATTAACCAAATGACCTAGAGCCTTCAGAACCTTGGAAAACACCTGAAGTTTTTCATGAATAGTTGCCTGCCTCTCCCCAACTTCCCTTTCCACCACCACTGCCTTTTTATTTTGTGTGCTGGGTAGTTCAGATGAGCTTGAATGGCTTCTCATTACAGGTGTCGGTGACATTCAAGGATATAGCTGTGCTCTTTACTCGGGCTGAGTGGAGAACGCTGGATCCTTCTCAGAGGAACTTGTATCGGGATGTGATGCTGGAGAACTACAGCAATCTGGTCTCATTGGGTAAAAAAAAAGTACCCCATTAGATTCAGGAATCAGAAATTGGGATATTTTAGCATCTCCTTCCCTACATAAAAATCATAGGTCATCAACAAACTTAAGCTGAGATTTGTCATGGATTGCCCCTAAGGGTCTATATAAATAAATGTAAGACCATTCTTTCTTCTTGGGTTAGAATGACTTCATGTATGAGAATGGAGGGGGTGGTAGTGATGATCATCTCCTTCCCTCTATACAGACGCACATTAGAAATTTCTTCATGAGTTAGGCATCATTTCTTTAAACTGATTCCTGTGTGGTTGGTTGGTTTATTCTTCTCTAACAGATGGCTTTATTCAACCTTTTCTACTTCCTTTTTCCAGCTAGATGAACATTGTATAATCTGCTGGCCAGTAGACTGTTCTATGACAACATAGTAAATATTTTAAGCTTTGAAGGCCACATATGCTCCCCATACATATTCATTTCTAACCAATCTTTACTTGAGGGCAATATACAAACACAAGTTACTTGGGTTTGGCTATAACCCATTGTTTTCTGATAGTTGCCGTCTTTGAAAGGGAGTCAAATATGTTTTGGTTTTTTTCTTCTCTTTTTAAATAAGATATTTGACACGTAATCCTTTCTGTAGCCACCTACTTACAAATTTTGATTGTGCATCTAACCTTTCCTTTTCTATAGAAAGCTAGTAGTATCTGTTTATCAAGGCTTCATGTTTGCCATATTTCTCTAACATACAATGAATTATAACATAATCATGTTCTTTAAGTCTTTTCCCTAACATATTCCCTCACATATTATGGGGGCCCACAGAAGCTCTTTGTACATCCTCTGAGTTTTTCACTCAAATTTTACTTTTTGCTGATCAGTGGTTTGCATCTGAGTACTGTCATGCCTCTTTATGTCAAAAGAAAAGCAAGTATTTTTTTTGTCTATGAGCAGGACCCCCATTTTCCAAGCCAAAAGTGATCTCCCTGTTGCAGCAAGGAGAAGATCCCTGGAAAGTAGAGAAAGAAAATCTTGGAGGCTCCTCTCTGGGTGAGTGAATGGGACTGAAGTGTCTGGGAATGACTGCAGGTAAGAGTGTGTAATTGAAAGAGGAGGATGCATTTTGGAGGTGTTGATTAAGAATCATTCTTCAAATTTCTTAATCCTCAAAAGAAAATGAGGAAGGGGAAACCAAGATATGGGATTTCTGAACAAATATAATATATTTTTTGAAATTACAAATAATTTGTTCTGGCTAAGACTCAGTATGTGTATGGGAAGAAAAAAAAATGAAGAAGGATGTGAGATTGGAAAGTTAGGTAGGGACCAGGTCATTAAGTGCTTTTGGTACAACTCTGAGGTATTTCAACTGTTCTGTGGTTGGTGACACATGATTAAACACTTGGTTGTAACTGAAAGGGCTGCAATTCAAACCCACCCAGTAGTTCTGCCAGAGAAACTACCTGATGACTTGCTCCCGTGAGGACTACTGTCTAGGAAACCCTATGGGGCAGTTCTAGTCTGTCCTGTCAGGCTGCTCTGAGTCTAATTGACCTGATGGCACACGACAATGTGGATGGCTGAGAATAATGTAAGGGTTTAAACAGAATTATACAGTCCATGGTAAGTTAGAGAAATTGAGTCAGAAACAATTTAAATGGTCTTCAATAAAGGAATAGTTAAGCTACAGTGAGTGTATCCCTTACCTGGTGTACACGGCCACAATTAAAAAGGAAGAGCACACTGGCATGGGCAGAGCTCCAAGGCACGTTAAGGGCAAAAGCAGGTTACAAAACAGCATTACAATATGGTACCATTTGTGTTTAAAGAAAATGGTATATGCTGTTATTGTTCATATGTGTAATATACATGTAAATACAGAGAAAAGGAGTAGAAAAAGTTAAAGATACACCTGAACCGCTAATAGCAGTTATGTTTAGAATGGGCTCAAGAATAAGCCCATTCTTGAGGGCTGGTGAAAGGGAAGTTTATTTTTAAACATAATGTTTTCATTTTTCCCAAAGAATCTATTCATAAAGGTACTGAGATTTTATAGAATCATTATAAGAATGATCACTGTGGAAACATTGTGGAGGATAGATTAAAAGTGAGGCAAAACTAGAGATGGGAAATTTTGCAGAGATATTGCAATAATCCAGGTAAAAAGTATTTAGGACTTGGATGAAGGCACATGCAGTGGAGTTCATGAGGAAGCAGAAAAAAACAATTAGGGATGTCGATTTGTTAAGGACATAGGCTGAGGACAGTGTAGAGTAACTGTCCTCTGAGATGCAAGTAATATCCTTCGATGGAGATAGCCAGTGGGCAGTTGTAAAAGGCAGGTGTGGATGAATTCAAAAGGAGAGTCGAGTTATCAGTACAAAGTGACATGTGAAGTCTTGAGGGAAGTGAGGGAGGAAGGTGACAGACAGAATCCCAGGAAACATCAGCACTTGCCACAGAGGTTAAAAAAGGACTCTGAAGGGGCCTGAGAAGAATAAGAGGGAGAGGAACTTGAGAGGGAGTTGTTGGAAGCTGGGAAGTGAGAGCTGTTTAAGTTAGGGTTCTGGCTCTAGAGTTACAGCATTAAGTTTTAAATCCTTGCTTCCTATTTTTCTGTACCTTAGAACTTAGTACATGCTGAATGAGTTCTTTGCTGGGCATTGGTGACACAACATTGGACAGAAAAAGACCAAGATCCTGCACTTGTGAAGTTTGCATTCTGGTGGGGAAGATCTGTGCTAATAAACTAAATGCACACAGAGCTGTGAAATTAAATTCCTTCCAGTAAGGCAAGATAGAAAATACTCTGTGAGCATATAACAACAGTGCCCGTTAAGGCTTCTCTAAGGAAATGGGGACTGGGGGTCAAGAGTTCCCTGAGGAGAAAATGTATTCCAGTCATAACAAACCAAATCCATTGCCCTCAAGTCAGTGCTGATTCATAGCAACCCTATGCAACAGCAGAACTCTGCCATAGCGTTTCCAAGGCTAAAATCTTAACAGAAGCAGACTGCCTTATCTTTCTCCTGCAGCTGGTGAGTTCAGATGGCTGACCATTCAGGTCACAGCCAAGCACTTAACCCCTGTGCCACTAGGACACCTAGTTTAGACATATCAAGTGGCAATTCTCAGAAATGATCTTGAGAAAGGAAGCCAGTCAGTTAAGAGAGGGAGCAAGGAGATCAGTATAAGAACAGGTTGGAGAAAAAAGCAGAGACCAGATCACACTAAGCTGTGTTACCATGTCACAGAATTTGATTGGTATTTGACAGCCATGAAAAGTCACTGAGGAGTTTGAAGTAGCGTGGTCACATGCCAAGGGCTACATTTTGAAAAGATCTCACTATAGCCCCTGTGGAAAGCCCCCTGAAGTGAAAGAAGATTTATCAGAGTTATTATGAGGCCAATGCACATCAGTGAGGACCCATCAAAGGAGCTGCCGAGCAAGCAGTGTAGGTCCCAGAAGCCCTAGCACAGCAGAACTGCTTTGTCTCCTCTTGATAAGTTGCCTTTTTTTTTTTTTTTTTATATGGAAGACACAGTTATCTGTCTTCTTAATTCATTTGGAAGAAATATACTAATCTTGTAGGAAGCCACCAACATATAAATAGAATGCAGGTAGCAGAGAACCAGTTGAGAGTTAGAAGGGGCCTCAGTCTGGCCATTAGGTATGGACTGAGTCTGGCATGAAAAATATCAGCAAAATTGTTCTCTTCATTTCACTTTGGGATCATCTGATTAATGAGTGAGTTTCCAAAATGAAGTGAATATTAGTATCTTAAACTTAGCAGAAATTACGACTGGCTTCCAAACTGGCCAGAAAAACAGAAACCACGTGACAGTAAGGTTATAGTCTTTAGTTATCTTCCTAGTCTTTAGTTAGCTTCCTTCTCTGGTTTGGGAAGAAGCCATGAAGAAAAATCATGAGTGTGTTTCTGAAGGAAGTGCAGGCTATACAGAACTGACCAGTATGAATGTTTCTTTTGATGGTATGAGCTTCCATTCTTTCCTCAAAGATCAAAATCAGGTGGAAAGTCCTGTGAGTGCTGCCCTGTGGTGTTCCTAGCAATCATTTGCAGCAGATTTGCCCAGTGAAATACTTCCTTTGGTTTTTTGACTGCAGCTTCCATGCATGTTGACAATGGATCCAAATAAAATGGAATCCTTGACAATGTCAATCTTTTCTCTTTATCATTTGGTTATTGGTCCAGTTGTGAGGGGTTTTGTTTACATTACATTGAGCTGTAATCCATACTGAAGGCTATATTCTTTGATTGTTATCAGTAAATGTTTCACATGCTGTTTGCTTTCAGCAAGCAAGATTGTGTCCTCTGCATATTGCAGGTTGTTATGTTAGTGAGCCTTCTACCAATCATGATACTGCATTCTTCTTCATGTAGTCCAGCTTCTTGGATTATTTGCTCAGCAGATAGATTGAATAAGTATGGTGAAAGTATACATCGCTGACACTCACTTTTTCTGCTAACTACACAGTATAGCATTCCCTTTTCCTGTTCAAACGACTGTCTCTTCGTCTATGTACAGGTTCCACATGAGCACAATTAAGTGTGCTGGAATTCCCATTCTTGAAATGTTACCTATAGTTTGTTATGACCCTCACAGTCGAATGCCTTTGTGTTGTTAATACACAAGTAAACATCTTTCAGATATTCTCTGCTTTCAGCCAAGATCCAGCTGACATAAGCAATGATATGCCTCCTTCCTTGTCCTCTTCTAAATCTGGCTTGAATTTCTGGCAGCTACCTGTCTGTATCTTACTGCTGTTTTAAATTATCTTTCGGAAAATTTTACTTGCCTGTGATATTAATGATATTGTACAATAATTTCTGCAGTATATAGGATTACTTTTCTTTGGAATGGACACAAATATGAATCTTTTCCAGCTTTTCAGATTTTGTGCTCAGCATACAGAATTAATTAAAATAGTAAAAGGATACAACCCTGGTACATACCTTTCCTGATTTTAAACCACTCCAAAATACACTTGTTCTCTTCTAGCAACTGCTTCTTGGTCTAGGTACAGATTTCTCAGAAGTACAATTAAGTGTTCTGGAATACCTGTTCTTTTGCTGTATAGTTTGTTACGATACACAAAGTCGAATGTCTTTGTATAGTCAATAAAGCACAAATAAACATTTTTCTGGTGTTTTCTGCTTTCAGCCAAGATCCATCTGACATCAGCAATGATGTCCCTGGTTCCATATTTTCTTCTGAATCTAACTTGAATCTCTGGCAGCTCTCTGTCAATGTACTGCTACAACCACTTTTGAATTATCTTCTGCTAAATTTTACTTGCATGTGATATTAATGGTATTATTCAATAATTTCCACTTTTTGTTGGGTTGCATTTCTTTTGGAATGGAAAACCAGTTAGCTGTTTTCCAAAATTTTTGGCACAAATGAATGAGTGCCTCCAGTACTTCAAAGTTTGTTAACATTTCAATTTATATTACATCAATTCTTGGAACCTTGTTTTTTGCCAGTGCCTTCAGTACAGTTTGTACTTTTCCTTCAATACTATTGGTTCTTGATCATATGATAGATATCTCTTGAATGGTTGACCATACACCAGTTCTTTTTGGTACAGTGACTGTGTGTTCCTTCCATCTTCATTTGATTATACTTGGAAAGAGATGAAACTAGGAATTTGTGGTAGAATAACTGAAAAGATCACAGTGTCATTCTGAACTGAAAAACCTAGGGGAAAGATTTGAAATGAAATATGCTGTGTTCATATTTGGGCAGGTTAACCTTGAACATAAGAAAGATGATTAAATGGTAGTTAAAACAGGCAGTTGAAAATACCTCTGAAAAGTATTTTGAGAAGAGTCAGGCTAGTCATTCATGTGAGAGGTGTGGAGTAAATGAAATCACCTAGGGAGAGAAGATTGAAGAGAAAATCTCAGTGGTGTAGAGCCAAAGGAAGAGAATCCGGACCTGATGGCAGAAATTAGGATGGTAGTCATTAGCAAGATCACCCTGGCCTAGAGGACTTCTGACCCTTAACCTGTTCATGAACTAGCACA